AGAGAGCCCCCCCCCCCCCTCCAGACTTCCTTCTCCCCCCCACCCCGGCCTCAGGAGCATTCACACCTCGGGACGAGTTAACCGCAGCGCTGTGAAAACCAAACCTGCCGCTCACCGCAGCGCCTGCCTTTGCCCTGCCTTTGCCTCGCCCCCCCACCCCCCACCGTGCACGGCAGGGGCTCTGGCTGAGAGGGAGCCCCCAGGCAGAGCCAGGGAGAAACGGCCCCTCTCCCCTCCCGCTGCCAGGCACAACTAGGCCCAGCCAGCCCCAGCAGCAGGGGGTTAAACAGGGCAGCCCACGGAGAAAAGGAAAGGCAGGGGCTGCAGACAGGCAGGCATCCAGACCTGGAGCTTGCCAAGGCAGGGCTGGCTCTGAGCACCTCAGGGCTGGCTAGCCACAGCTTGCCCCGAGCACCCAGTCTAAGCCAGTGGCGAGACCAGGAGTGGGTGCAGGACGGAGGCTTTAGTCTTCAGGGGGCAAGTTGTTGCAGTCACCAGGGCCTGCCACTAGGGGGTGAAACAACCATTGGCACTAAGACCCCGTAGCTGGGTGTGCGTTAAGACCCCACAGCTGGTTGCACCCTTAATCTCCCTCCTTGTGGGTTGAGACCCTCCATCTGCCACTCTGCCAGCTAACACCACAATACCCCTGAGCAGGCACCGAACCCACAGCCCCCTCGTTCCGAACACACGAGCCTCAGCTGCAGCTCATCTGGTAGCCCAGAGGCAGCGGCCGACGCAACCTCTTTGCATAATCCAGCCACCAGAGGGAGACAGAGCACACCAGACGATACTCTAACGATGGCAACTCCCATGCTTCAGGCATTCAGGGTCAGGAAGGAATCGCTGGATGGCATCACAGGGCTGGACACGTGGCCTTTCTGTGCGGCACCAAGCGCTGGCTGCTGCTGCAGGGTTTGGCAGGCACAGATGCCAGAGAAATCTGGCATGCAAGAGACTTGTGAAGCCGATATTGCAAGGATGGTGTTTACCCAACCCTGTTTGGAAATATCCCCAGCGTTGTCCCCATTTTCGTCGGCCCAGCCAAAGAGACATTGGAACAGCAAATACAGGAGGAGCTGGGTGTAATACATGCAAGATCTATCCACTCCTCTTGTGAGCGAGGGGGGGGGCAGTGTCTAGGTTCTTGGCCTCCGTCCTGCTTCTCCCGACAGCTCCCGCCTGTGGCCCAACACACCGGCTCATCAAAGCTGGGACAAGACTGTTCCACCACCTGCTAACAATCTCGCCCCTCCCGCGTGGGGCAGTTCCTAAAGACCCACGCTCAGCACTGGCACCCCCTGCGTGGGGAGGAACCTGGGGCACTCTGGACCAACGTCCCACTTCCGCTTTGATTAGTTTGTGTCGGCCGAGCTCATTGGACCGCTCCATTTTCACCAACCGCTCCCAAGGTGCCACCCTCCCCTCCCCCTCTATGTCAACCCTCTCCCCCTCCCCCCCTCCCCCCCCCGCCGAGGCCCAGCAGCAATCCAAGCCAGCAGGTGGGTTTTACAGCCCTGAGACAAAGCCGGCTGCTAAGTGGCAAGCGAGTTTCAGTGGTAACTCTACCCTGCTGTCACAAAGGGTGAACAGACGGCAGGAGCCCGTTTCAGGCGCGCGCTGGCTGCATCTACATTGCGAGAAGGGGCCACAGACTAATATCAACCAGCTATTGAGATCCTGGGTATTACAAGACTCTATAATTAATTAACCAACCTCTCCCTTGCTTATTAGCCCTTTATAAACAGAACCGTAGTCATGAGCAAAGAACTGCCCAACTCCCGAGAGTCAGCCAGGTATCACTGTCTGCACTGTACAGGAGGGAAACTGAGGCACGGTGCGGGTGCCTGGCTTGATTTCAGCAATATCAGGAGTCCTAGTCCCCCTTGCTCAGCCCACTAGGCCACGCTGCCTCTGCTACAGCACATCCCCACGTGAGCCGAGAGGGTCTAGGCTGTGCTGGGCTTTGCAGATCTCCCTTGTGCCCCTAATTAGGGGCAGGGCCCGAGATCCCCATTGGGGCAGGACGCCTGGGACAGTGCAAAGGGGGAGAGGCCCGTTGGCGGGAACTGTACTTACATGTGTGCGTCTTCTTCATGGCGATCGGGCCTGCAACCAAGAGAGAGACGGGGTGAGACGGCAGCAGCAGCAGGACCCCTGCAGGCATCCCCCCCAAGAGCTTGCCACCTCTCCCAAATGGCTACTGAAGCTGCATGGGGAAATTGAGGCACCAAGAGGGTCCACCAGCACCTTAGAATAGAACCCAGGGGACTGATTACCAGTCCTCCCAGCCTCCATTTCCCCTCAACTAACCCACTAGCCCCCACTCCCCTCCCAGAGCTGGGAATAGAACCCAGAAGTCCTGGCTCTCAGCCCCCTGCTTTAACCACTAGCCCCTCCAGGAGAAATGCTCTACAACCCATTCCCCACCCCAATTTATCCAGCACCTCCTGCTTTGAGTGCAAATGCCCCAGGGGCCAGGCCTCACTGCAGACCTTACAGCAGAGACCAGTCAGAGCATTGGGGAACGACCCACACACAGCGCTCGATGTGTCAAAACAATATTATTATCACTGTTTGCACTGGGGTAGCGCCGAGGTGTCTCATTCGTGAACCAAGTCCCCACGGTGCTAGGCGCTGTACATTATTGATTAGGTGTATTATGGTAGCCCCCAGGAGCCCCAGTCACAAACCAGGCTCCCATGGCGCCAGGCGCTGTACAAACCCAGAACAAAGACGGCCCCCGCCCCAACGAACTGACAATCTAAACGCAAGACCAGCCAGCTGGGGGAGCGCAGTGAGCACCCCCCGCTCAGGCTGGGGGGCCGGGCTCGCAGCATGGCCGCAGGCCAGAGCCGGCAGAGGAGTTCTGAAGGTGTAAGGAGGGCCGTGCGGGAGGAGATGAGCTCGTTTCGCGGACGTTTGCAGCGAGCTCCTCCCGGGCT